CTAGCTCAACTCTAGCACGATTCAACCACATTTAAATCTATATATTTTTGCATACAAACTCGTTTCATACAACACAAAAATCCCCATATTAGAAATAATACATGGACTTGTGTTAATACCATTGTTTTCAATATTCACTCTAACTTCATACCGGCAGGATTCGGTCAGCTCAATAATATGAGTGGCAGATAGAATAATGATTGAATACACAGAGGAGTGCATTTTATCTGAAATATATATCTACCTCAATTTCAACACTGGCTGGATACGTGCATCTCTACAGAGTGGTGAGTAAGATATATACTATATACTATATTCTATATATGAAAAAATAGTGGGAGAAATATTATTATTTGATTAAACTTGGACATCTTTTTTATATGAAATCGAAGAAAAAAAGTTACAATTGCAGAGTGATCAAAAAAAGCAGGATATATGTAAGCAAGAAGGTATATGCCTCATCAAAATACCATATTTCACGGATATCAAAGCTTTTATAAGAGAAGCTTTAAGCAAGAACGGCTACCTCTAAGATTGTTTCAATTGATAGTGGTATATTACGAGGATACACTGGTTTTAAAGTCACATGGTTAACAGTTTGATAATGATATTTTTGGATAAATTCGTCTGGTGGGTATCCTAATTTTTCCATATCTATGATTTGCAATTCTTCATGCTTAAATGGTCGACGTGGATTACGTCCCATTAAATGTTCTGTGGATTCAACTGGATCTTTTTCAAGATAATATAATACAGGCTGTGACGGATTCTTTCCGACAACAACTTTTTTGATTTGATAAACACATAGACTCCAGTATGGATCAGTCACTCGGCGTCTATGACCACCTTCCAATTCTCCGGGTTTTAATAAGTATCGAACAGTGGTACCCTTTAGTACCATTACCTCATCTTCTCCAATTGGTCTCTTGGGTTTTATGGAAGGTTTAGATATCACTTTTTCCAATGTCATAGCATGGGATGGGGTCATTCCAATTAATTGTGTAGGACTGTTGTTCATATAGTCAAAAATTACTTCGAGAATCATATTCCACAATGTTGAATGTTCTCCTGCTGGTAATTTAGATTCTATTGCATATTGAATCTTGTATATTATTTCTGCTAATCTTCTTTTCAATGCTTTGTCCAATGCTAGGCTTTCGAAACTATAAAGGTCGACAACCCAGATAGAAACATTATATCATTGCATTCCCCGTGAAAAATATCCAGAGAATTCTTTACCGCCATCCAGCATCAATAATTTTGGCCATGTAAGGGGGGACATAGGATCTTCATATATTTCTTTTATAGCATTCCAAACTTCTAGGCTATTTTTTGATGTTAATGAATGTCCATTTTTATAGCATCCCGCAATATCTATAACCACTAAAGTATAGAGGTATATTTTTTCACCATCCTGATCATCATGACCATGAGGCAATAAATCGCACTGATGAACTTTATTAGGAATTTTAATCTTTCCGAATCCTGCTTGAGCTTTGATTTTTTGTGGTTGCCGATGAATTTGGTTAACATATTGGTTCTTTAACCACTTTTCGATATCTTGCAGGAAAAAATGATCGTACCCTTCTCTCCAACAAGCCTTTTGTAACTGTTTCGCGTTTGAATAAAATCCAGGTACGTGATAATAGATTACTCTAAGAACGATTTTTACTTCCTCATCGGCTCTGATTATAATAGTAGGTACACTCATTGCCATGATCGCGAAATGTTATAATTGATACTATAAACCAAGGCTGAATTTTTTGTCATGAGTTTCAATTTCGACCCCGCCTATTTAGCATTGCTGAAAAGTAATCAGGAGTTGAGGAAGGAACTTAATGCAGAGGTAAGTATAAATTGTCAGAACGAAAAAAAAATCTGCACTCTCATAAAAGAACTAGAACAATGCAGTAGGTCCATTTCATTTCAGGATACCACAATCATAGCCCACGAAAAGGAGATACAGGAACTCAAATTCCAAGTATCCGATTTGCAAAAACGTCTCAGACTAGCTCTAAAGGATGCTGATAAAAAAGAGGGTTACATTCATGATCTAGAGCAACAGTTATCTACATTCGAAGAGGAAGTGATTGTGTTAAAAAAGAAAATTCAGGAACTTACCTTCCAGAAGTATAATAAATCTGTAGAAATCAAAGATTCGCTTAATATAGTTAAGATGTCTCAGCCGATTCAACCAGATCCAATTCAACCACCTAGCCCCAATGAACTTAACAACCTTCTCGATACACTTCTGGATGAAAATATACATATTGATGGTTATATTCGAAATCCCCACACTTCGGCTTGGAATCAGAGGGATATTCTAAACAAGATTATTACAGTTAATGATTCTGCACTTCGACTAAAAGAAATTGCTGACTGGGAAAATAATGAAGCACAAACCCAGTATCAGCAATATGGTCAGATGATTGCGGGGTTGAATAATCAAGCAACTCAACTTCAAGCCCAAATTCAGGGAGATGCGCAAATTATTATACAATTACAGGCTCGGTTGGATACTGCAAATAATAATTTCGATCTTCTTAATCATGCCCATAATTTCCAGACGGGACAATTGCAAACATGTCAAGCTGAATTACAAAATTGGCGTAGGAAGCATGTAAAAAGGAAGGGTAAGCATGTCAAGCAAAAGGCGAAGCATAAAAAATGGGAAAATAAGGAAAAAGATTCAAGGCAAATAATTTTAAATTTAAATCAGCAAATTTTAGCGCTTCAGAATAACCTGCAAAATATGACAGCTATAGGTGACTTAACTGGTATTACACCTTTACTCGCAAATGTTGAATTCTATGATGGACAGGTTCAGCCCGATGAATGGTATAATAAAATTCATGCAATACTAGCTATTCCTGCGATAACTAATCTCAATGATGCCAATAAAGTAGCTATTTTAAAAGGTAGACTTGGCCGAAAATATGCAGATGTACCTGATCAACATGCTGGAAATAATATTGATACTCCAGCTCGCTTTATTGCATGGTTGCGTCATAAATATCAGACAGAAACGATTGGGACACAGCAAGTTGCTCTCCAGAGATTAGCTTATGAAAAATTTTTACCTAATGATACACCGGAAACATATGAGACGAGAATACGCCCCCTATTATTGGGTGTTGCTAACAACGATGCGAATGCCTTGTCATTTATTATGGATCATTTACCAAATGAACTTTTCACCAGGATGGAACGTGCAAATCCCACGGAAATTAATGCATTCTTTACTCATCTCAAAAATTTGTGGCTTAAACGTAGGCCTTCTTCATTTAATTACGGAAGTGCGAATAATATGAATGGGATGGTGTCTCAGGTACCCCAACAAATCGTACAACAACCCGCATTCCAACCACCTCAGCAAATCGTTCAACAACCTGTATTCCAACCACCTCAGCAAATCGTTCAACAGCCAGTATTCCAACCGCCTCAGCAAATCGTTCAACAACCCCAGCAAACCATTCACCCACCCCAGCAAATTGTACAACAACCGAAATCTCAACCATTTCAACGAATTACAAATCCTCCAGTATATGAATATCAAAATTTCCGTCCCAAAACTGAGAAAGCCAAGTACTATGAGGAACTGAAAAACTATGCAGAAATGGGTCTTGAGGCTGAGGATAATAGAGTGTTTGAGCCGATGGAAATTGATTACGCAATAGTCAATATTGCTAATAAATTAGATCAACTTGAAGGATTGCCCAGCTCCCCGAATTCATCAATAAATCTGGCTAGAGGTCCTAGAGTAAGTACTAAGCCGATCCAGCGCAAATGTGAGATTTGTAAAAAGCTAGGTCATACTTATCGCAGTTGTCCCATAATTAAGAATATGATGGATAATAATTCTAGAAAAAGAACTGGTCGTGTTAATTTTGCCGATGGGTTCTCACAAGATCAATTTGATAATAGCTGTGATACGGAAGAAACCCCAAACGAATCTGCTATTTCCGATCAAGAAGATGATGGTGAATTTGATGATAACGCACTTAATGAAGAATCAAATGTTAATGTATCCAGAATTAAAAAAAAATAGATCGACCTAGAGTACTCATTAAGAAGACATCCAATGAACAATCCCGATCCAAAGGCAAGAAAGATGTATATTCTTCAGAGGGTAAGGAGATTCAAGTTTCTCCTCAAGGATCACAAAATCCCACTTCGACTTTACTAGAGAGACGAATACGTGAAATAATTCAAAGTGAGCTTGTAAATTCCACTTTATTAGAGGAGGCTATAAGTAAAATCTTACGAAATTTTCAGAAATCTAGTACCGCAAATGATATTTCCCAACAAAGCGAAGATACCGAGGATGAAGAAGTTATCGAAGATATGGAAATTAACTTTGTCCAGGATAAAGATGTGATAGATATTGCGACTGTGCGGGGTAAAATAAAACGTTTAGTACTCTCGGCAATTTTAGTCGATTCTTGCTCAAATACTTTACTTATGTCTAGGGACATTGCTGAGCGCTTGGGTTTAAAAATTGATAAAAGTACGACGTTTTATTTCAAGGGGGCGGCCACTGTCCTAACCAAATCTATTGGAATGGTTTATAACGTACCATTAACCCTAGCTCCTGGCTGTGTATTTTATTTAGATTTCGTAGTTATTGATTACCCAAAGACTATGCTGTTATTGAGCAACCCCTTCCTTAAAAAACATGATTGTGCGATGGATTGGGCTAAATCCGAAATGAAGCTTCATTGCAATGGAAAAGATTTCATCATCCCAGTTACTATGCATAGAGTTGAAAATAAGATTGAGGTACATCACGTTAATGCAATTTCCGAAGAGCCAGATGCAGAGTTAAAAAAAAACACGTAAATTGTGAAAGGTGTGAATATTTAGAAATAAAGTTGTATAATGCTATCAAGTCAAAAGCGGAAATTAAAAAGTTTTCTGAGAAATTGCAATTATGCTATGAGAATATACGAAATGCTGAGTTTTCACCTGATCTACTTGACAATGGTATAAATGAAGATGAATTAATTAGAAAATAAACGAGCCATATTTGCTTTATGTTTTTTATCGTCTTCGTTTTCTTGCTTGTAGTATGCATCTAATTCTTCCCGGCTTATTTTTTTTGATTCACTTTGTGAGGACCGTGCCAACTTAACTGATGAATTACCAGCAATAACGAGTGTATCCATAGTTTTAGATTTAGCCGTGCTAGCTTTGCTATTTTCTTTGGATTCTTTTTTATTTTTTATTGTTGTTGCTATAATTGGAATTTCCTTGGTTTGTAATGAATCAGATATTTGTCGACTACTATCATCTCCATCTGGATTTGGCGGAAAATCATTCCAATTATTGAGACTTTGTTGGAGTCGTTCACTATGCTCCCATATTTCATATACACGACGGGCACCAATATGAAATTTTTTCGACATCCTAGCTGATGCATTTGGTATTTTTCCTCTTGATTCTCTAATCTCATTAATATCAGCTTCTGATAATTTGGTTGCATTAGACCGATAAAATTTTTGATGGATGTGGGTTACCATTTTTTTTGGAATTTGATATATTTAACTAGAAAAAAATACTGATATCTATTGATATTTTTTCAGAACTTATTGATACGTATTGATACGTATTGATGTCTATTGATATGCATTGATGTAATCTCAATACCTATTGATGTTTATTGGTACGTATCGATTTACTAAATATTAATGTCTATTGATATGCATTGATGTAATCTCAATACCTATTGATGTTTATTGGTACGTATCGATTTACTAAATATTAATGTCTATTGATATGTACCGATTTTCTCAAATAACAATATCTATCAATACGTATTGCTAATAATAATAATATCTATTGGTATAAATCATTGTAACTAATATTGATTGAGAGGTATTAGTCGGAACATTTTCAGCGAAAGATTTTTTTTTGCTAAACATAGATGAACAATGTACAGTCCCTTGAAAAAAGTATCGCTTCACCTGATGATCGACGAAAATAATTGGATAACTTCTGTGATATAAAAAGTCATGATTTTACTAACCAAGTCGATGTTGTGTAATAACAAAAAAATCATTTTCATAATGATTTCTATAACATATTCAAGTTTCACAACATAAAATTAATTATTGGTAATTTTATGATCTTTAAAAGACAAAAAAAAAATTTCCGGAAATTTTCAAAAAAACTTGAGATTAGAGCCAACTTTAGATGACATGTTTTAACACATTTTGAGAGCTTAGTAAATGTTGTTTCTTTTATCTTCAAATGTATACTTATGAAATCTCACAATTAATTGTCGGATATTGGTCAAGTATCGAACTGAAACGTAAAAATAATTTTTATGAAGTTTACTAGCTATTTGCACAATATTTTACATATTAACTTGTAATAAAATATACACTAAAAGAATCAAAAAAAGATAGAGAATTTGGTTATTTATTAGTATTTTGTCGGGTTTCCTTTAGAATTAATTACAGCTGCAACTCTTCTTGGCATAGAATTAACTAAATTTTGTAAAAAATTACGGTCAAGCTTCTCCCACTCTTCATTTAAATAAATAGATAATCCTTCAATATTTTTTGGATGTGGTTTTCGATTATGAACTGCCTTTTCTAAATAATCCCAAACATGTTCAATTGGGTTGAGATCAGGACTCTGGGCAGGCCAAGGAAGAGAAGAAATTAAATTATCTTCTTTCCATTTAAGCACCGCCTTTGCAGTATGAACCGGTGCATTATCATCTTGAAATATATTTAAATCAGTTCCTAATTCGTTCATAAAAGGTAATAAATAATTTTCTAAAAGCTCTTGATATTTTTTACCAGTTATTTTACCTTCTAATATTACCAAGGGTCCTGGTTGATTGTTCACAAAACAACCCCACACCATTATTCCTCCCCCACCATGTTTAAAAGTAGGAATAAGACAGTCAACATCATACTTTTCTTTTGGAACTCTCCAAACTCTCTGCCGTCCATCAGAATGATGCAAGTTGAATTTTGATTCATCACTCCAAATAATATTACTCCAGTCATCAACGTTCCAATTTTTTCTTTCTCTGCACCAACTAAATCGTTTTTTTCGATTAACTTCAGAAACAAAAGGTTTCCTCAATGCAGCTCGACTATAATATCCTTCTTCATGGAGATAGTTACGAATTGTTCGATCACAAATAGGATTGTCTGTGGTTTCATTTAATATGTTAGTTATCTCTCTAGCAGGAGTAAAACGATTTTTTATAACAATTCTTTTTAAAGTCCTAGAGTCTCGATCTGTTAAACTTTTTGGTCTTCCACTTCTAGATAAAACGGTAATTTGACCTTTTTCACGATATGCTTTTATTGCACGCTGTACTTGTGTTTGAGTACGACCAACAGCATTTGCTATTTCTCGAGTTGTTTGACCAGCTTCCCAACGACCAATTATTCTTCCTCTTTCAAAGTCAGTTAATTGAGTGTTTTCAGTATTTTGTGTATTTATTTCTGTAAGAGTCATTGTGTTGTTGATTAAAAATAAGTTAAAAAACGTAACAGTTTTAGTTAAAAACGAATAGCAATATTTGCAGAAAAAAAAATTTTTAAATGTAACACATTTATTTTTTTTAGTCGTTTTTACGTTTCAGTTCGATACTTGACCAATATCCGACAATTAATTGTGAGATTTCATAAGTATACATTTGAAGATAAAAGAAACAACATTTACTAAGCTCTCAAAATGTGTTAAAACATGTCATCTAAAGTTGGCTCTAATCTCAAGTTTTTTTGAAAATTTCCGGAAATTTTTTTTTTGTCTTTTAAAGATCATAAAATTACCAATAATTAATTTTATGTTGTGAAACTTGAATATGTTATAGAAATCATTATGAAAATGATTTTTTTGTTATTACACAACATCGACTTGGTTAGTAAAATCATGACTTTTTATATCACAGAAGTTATCCAATTATTTTCGTCGATCATCAGGTGAAGCGATACTTTTTTCAAGGGACTGTATGTATAGTACACATAGTACATAAAGTATGTATAGTACACATAGTACATAAAGTATGTATACTACATTTTCTTGCACGATTTATCTGTATTTTTTTATTATATATATTTATTGCTAATGTACATAGATGGGAGAACGAAGCCTTGAGAAAGAAATGCATCGTATCCTACAATCCTCTTCTAAATTGCGTGAATATAATAGTATGTTGCGGGATAAATACATAAAGCAGGAGGGGAATTTTGATCAAGAAAGAAAGAAGTGGAGTAAAAAACTAGGAGGGGTTGTTGTCGAGAATCAAAACCTGCAGTTTGAAAATGCTAGTAAAGCTATTTCTCTTGCGGAATCCGAGGCTAAGTATGATATAAAATTAAAGGAGATTAAATTGCTTCGGGATGAGATGAAATTATTGAAAGGTAAGTTAGATTTATCTCAGAAGGACTCATCAAAGAAAGGGTCTGAAATCGAGTCTCTCAAGTCTAAAATAGTTGAATTAGCCTTGCAAATTAGTGAATTGGAGCGTCTGAAACCTGAGGATATATCAAAATCTATAATTGGTGGAGATGTCGAGGGGCAGAGCCTCATTGTTCCCACAATAAAAAATACGCAGAGCGAGGAACAAAGTTCCATAACCAAGTTTGATGATATATCTGCAGTTATTGAACCTAGCAAAAATCTAAGTAAGTATTTTATACGCGGAAAAAGTATGAATCAAGCTGAAAAAAATGATACAGAGATTAACCCCAAGATAAGTGACTCATGAAGTGAGAATGCTAGCGCATCTGAAACTAGCATTAGCGAAATTAACAAAGATAATATGCTAGTTTCATCGATAAACCCGGATATACACCCAATTATATCTGAAAATATGACTCCGCACCTTGCTCAACGGGAAAATAATATGTCCTCATTAATTGAATCGAATTCTCAGATTCCGCTATCAGCATATATATTCCTTGTCCTATTAATTATTGCGGTTATGTGGTTCGTGAGACGTACATGGGGGTTTGATAGGAAAAATGAGCGGTTGCGGGATATGTGGGCTAGGTATTAGGAATTATCTATTTAAACTTGGATATTATTTATGTACGAAAAAATATATATAATATTGCATAAGTATCTTATTAGGGTGTCGCAATTCTAACCAAGAATACTTAACAATATAGATCAATGATCTCATCGATATCTGCTTCTGATGGGTCGTCTTTTTTACCGCTTTGCATAATATATAATGCTTGAAGACGTGCAGTCTCGAGACCAATTGCTTTGTACCATGTATTTCGGAATTCTATTAATGCTTCACATTCTGATTCCAGATTATATTGAAGTATATACTCTTCCAAAATCGTAATATCAGTCTTGCATTTTTGTTTCTGTGTAATTAATTTATATAACCCATTTCTATATTCTACATTTAGCTTAGACAATTCTAAAAGTATATCTGATAATTTCAAACGAATGGAGTCTGCAATTTTATCAAACGCATTAAGATAATTATTATACCAAGTAGAAGGCCTAGTTATGCCCGCTTTGCTAATATTCATAGTATAGCACAATTTTTCGGCATGTATAATAGCATCTTTCCATAAATGGGAGATAATAGTTTCATCTTTTTTCGGAGCATCACGTAAATCTTTGATATAATTTTTGAGCCATTTTTTAGCTGACTTCTGTGACTCTCCATCTTTAATTTTTGCTATTTCATCTTCATCTAGACTCGGAGAGTCATGACCGTTTAGGGTCGCCCCTTCGGGCCTGCTTTGCAATAAATCCTTAGCATTTTTCAATTTCTTCTCCTTTGATTTCTTTTTACGATCCAAGACTTTTGAGAGGGATTCAGGTGATGGTTGATATTTATCATCATAATTTATAAAACGGGCACAGAGTCCAAATAGACTTTCGATATAATAATCAATATTTATTTTCTTGTTGAACTTTTTTACCACATCTGGATATTCCATACAGTCTCCTTTTTGTTGTGGTATTTTTTTCCCGCAGTTATCATAAATCTCCTCAGGTACTACTACAATGTAACTAATTCGTTCACCGGGTTTGGGGACTTTATATAGGTATTCGTTAGCGGGTAAACCCTTCTTTATAAGCTGTTGATTTTCCAATACTTCACGAGAATACTTAGCCCCCATTCGCGAAACAAACCGTTCTACAGAGATATTCCCCCGCTTACCTTCCTTTTTAGGCCTCCATATACATGTCTGAATAAATTCATCATAATCTAACTTGGAAAGTTTTTCCACATTTTCCCAAAGAACTTTTTCAACAATCTGGTGTATTGTCTCCTCATTACCGACTTTCAAAGTTCTATTCATAATTTCCTTACCTACATCACGAAAGAGCTTAGATTGGCCTCTTTTCACAATATCTATCCCTTTAATGAAAAGCTTACCCGGATTGAAATTTGGCTCCTTTTTATGCTCAAGACCATAGTATTTTTTCTTTCCTGTAAATACCACGGGGAATAAGACCTCTTCATATGCCATATTAAGGTAAGGCGTTCCATTGTCTTTTTCAAGTTCAGTATTTACTTCATTACGGAGGTTTGCCATCACTTTCATAGATATTTTTACCATTTCCTTCCAGTACTCTTCTTGTGAGAGTTGATCTAATTTATATTTTCGATCACATTCCTGGAAACACTCTTCTGGACATGTGAGATATAAAGAATCGGTGTCTCCATATTTAACACCAAACCCTTTATCTTCAACAAAATTTCTAACAAATTTAATATTACGTTGCCCAGCAGAAGTAACTCCACCTGCTAACTGAAGTTGATAGAATGGAGAGAGATTGTTACCTGCCTCACCATAAAATGTATTCATATATAATTTTACCGCCTTTTGTTTTGAGTCTAAGCAACTATATTCGAAACTTTTATCATCCAATTCATTAAGGGTTTCTTTCATCTTCTTTCGTTTATTAAATAGATTTTCCAACACTCTAGCATATAATCCCTTTTCTTCAGGTATATTATTATGGCGAATAGACCAAGCTTCTATAGTTCGACCATTGAATAGAAACTTAATCATGTGGGTTTTTTTTCCACTACGGATTACATTTATCGCTTCTTCGCGGGATAGTATGATTTTATCTGGTGAAAGGTTGTATGTCATTATAAGACTTGGGTATAGGGAGGCAAAATCTAAACCTGTTACTGGACGTTTGTTTTCCAGACCTTTTATCGGTGTAATAACATAAGCTCCTGGATATTTACCAGATTCTGTATTTTCTGAAGCAATCATACTACACAACATACTACTACTCCAAGCTTCAGCTCCCAAAAGATTACATACTTTCATACCCCCCGCAAAATAATGAGAATCAGAAAGAGAA